ATGATAAATGATTGATTATATGTCAATACAGTATTAATAACTTATAGGGAAAATAGGCTGTATTCCTGAGACACTGAAGAGCCCCAAAAAACATATCCTGCTGCTAAAATTATTAAATAATGTCTAAATAACTCAAATAATTTATAAATAGACATAGAATCAATAAATTTATACAAAATAAAAACAAAAAGAATAAATTTACACAAAATAAAGACAAAACAATAAATTTGTACAAAATTAAGATTTGTTTTCATTTACCTTATGTGATAAGTAAGTGTACAGTAGTAAGTTGTGACCCCCAGCTGTCACTATAAGTACTTTCAGTTAGACATTCATAATTTTCTCTTTTAACTTTGTTACAGGCACATAGATTCTTCCACACAATGTACCAAAAAAAAAAAAAAGTATTTTAAGGTCAAAACGAGAAATAAATAAAAAAAAAAAAAAATCACAATTATCATAAGGTCAAAACATAAAGGGAATAAACATCTTTTCCATGTCTGGGACTTACCACATACAGTACTGTATAGCAGGGGGAGGGGGAAAGGTAAAGGGAGTGGCATGGGGAAGGGGAGCAGCATTGGGGATCACAGTTCGCTGTCTCGTGTGTCATGAAAAGATTGCCAAATGGCAACACAGTAATTTTTTTTTTTTATTCCTCACACTTATTAGTAGAGTACAGTATATAGTACATTATTTTATGTATAACGAATAACTTTTTCCACATGCAACCATCCTCTGGGCAACGTGAGTTCAGAATAGCTTTTTCCACATTTCGATTTCTTAGCCTCGCAGTCACTGTGGACGGGCAGAGACTCCCACGCATCCCGCGAGGGTCGTACATGTCATGCCATTCCGAGATTGCGTCATCATATCTCGGAATATTACGAGTTATTGCACAACACTTTTTCATAGTTGTGACAATGCAGGAAAAGAGTTCAAGTAGCAACCATCGTAAAACTGATCTCAGCCATAGTATAGCAGGAAATGGTGTTAATATTTTAACATCATAAAATTGATCGATTGTATATACTGTAGATCCATCAAATAATGGTCCTTGCCTGTACAGTACATACAGTATGTGGGTTCCATTCCTACTAAACGTCCATTTGTATAACAATTATATGAATAATGCAGCAATTTTTCCCATACAAATCAATGTAATAGGGGGGTTACATTTGTTGGGTAATCTGAAATGAAAAGCAAAGAAACACATACTAATCATATATAATTACTGTACAGCAATAAATAAAACACATTCTTATAATATTAAATATGTACTGCACAGTAAAAAATAAAAGTTATGGTATGTGGTTACAGTACTGTACTGTACTCGATATCCGCAGGTCACGTGAGATCACTCAAGTAAATAATAGACTGTTCAAGCGACCCGTGGCAGAGATATACACATGCAGTATAGTAGAAGACCACCATCTACCAATATACTGCTTGAGTGCTGCAGTCTAGGAAGCAGTTGTTCAGACTCAAGGAGAGTTAAAATTTGTTAGAAAAAGTTTTGAAATGATGGAATTATTATCAGTGAGAAAAGTGGTGTCTCAAGTATTCCTCACTGTTCGGCACCCACAGTACTGTAGCGTATTCACAGAGCCTTTAGTGTAAAGAACAACTAGTATGTCTTCAATGTTTCATTTCCCAGAGAAGCATTTAATTTTTTAATACCTTATGTTTCTTTAGATAAGTTCTTAAAAGTTTAATAAATATTTCAAACAAAAACAGTTCGTCAGTTTGATGAAAAGTTTCCCTCGCACGTCGTCTGCAAGCAGATAAAGTACAGTATTTCAAATCCACTGTACAATATACAGGTATACTAATATCTAATATTTTATTACCTCCCACAAATTGTCAATGACCCAAATACAGTATGAAATTACTGAATAATATGGAAATACTGCATATTTTTAACAAAGTATGGCATATGAATAACAAAATTGTGGTGGTAAAAATTGCTATACATATGAGTTGTACTTTTTTTTTTTTTTTTTTTACGGGGATTAGCCCACCCGGGCACAGGTCACTGACCCACATCGGGGCCTGGGGGCTAAAATGTATTAATAATAATAATAATAATAATAATAATAATAATAATAATAATAATAATAATAATAATAATAATAATAATAATAATAATAATAATAATAATAATTCTTAGTAAATAAAATTTATAATAAAAAATAATAATAATGATAATAATAACACTGTAGTAATGATAAAAATAAAAATAATAATAATAATAGCAATAATAATAATAATAAAGAGCCATAAAGAAATAAAAAAAAGAAAAAAAACGATCAATAGTGAGAAATATACTTAAGTATGTTGTGTTATAAATAGTAAGAGACACAATTGAGACCCTGCAATTGTGTGTAAATGAGGCAGAAAGTCAGATCAGCAACCTGGGATTTGGTCAAAATTTTTGTGATGCCATATGGCAGCAGGGTCTACCATTAGACAACACATTATGCTTCCAATATCTTCCCAGGCGGTAGTAACTCCCTGTTTGGTAGCTGCCTACTACCTGATTCGCAAATAAACTAAAAACAACAAACCTACAGTACAGTTCTATACTGTATTAAAGTGCAGTAACTAAACTAAAATTAAAATACTGTATATGTTGTGTTTTAGGTATCATGGCTCACAGAATCGCTAGATGGAGCAGTAGAAAGATGCTGACTTAAGATATTTTAACTGTAGGAACACTGATGTATTTAGTATCCCAGAGTTTGATCTGATGTGAATGGAAAGAATAAAATGTTAAATGGCTAAGTTTAGCATTTCTTCTTCAGATACAGTAATACTGCATCAAAAATCAAATGCAGTAAAAGCAAAACATCGTAAAATTCAAATACATACAGTGCAATAGGCTTACTGTTGGTGCACCACTTCCAAATTCAAACCACACACTGTATCTTAGCTGGACCTTGCAGTTTTACACTACAGCGTTCATTACAACCAGTGGCACAGTTTCTCAGTAACTTTCGTGTCCTTCATTTCATATTATATTACAGTCTCTCCTCAACTTACGACATATTCGACTTACACAACCCGGACATACGACAGCCATGGTAATATAAAATATTTTTTCACATTACATATTTTTGAGTCCTGACGTTAGTGATTGCGCTGTGTACCGAAGAAATTTTCATTTGTAATTCTCTTTAAAATGGCTGGCAAGCATAAAAGTGAGAGTTCTCGTGGTGCTGAGAAGAAAAATAGACACCCATTTCGACTTACGACCTGGTCGTCGGGACAGAACCCGGTCGTAAGTCGAGGAAAGACTGTACATGTAATATGTCTACTTCTCGGTTACAGTCATTGTTTACACCAAAAATTTCCATTATAAATATATTTTGTAGCATTTTAAAACATTTTGAGTTGTTTTCTTTTATATAAGAATGTTTCTCTGCTTTTACAATGGGAGTCAATGGGAAATGTGAACTGACATTCAAAAACTTAATTATGAAAAGATTTTCTAGGAATGAAGCCCTTTCATAAATCAAGTACAGTAATATACTGATATACCTCACTACAAATATTGTAGTCAAGTTTGTGTACGCGGAAACAACTATCAATCACCATGTTTTTCAAGAAAGAACCAGCTACTGCCACTTCCTCCCAGCCACCTGGCCATGCGCCACCTCCTGGTAATGCATCATTCTGGAACTTCTGAGAAAATTTTTTCCATTACCCTGAAAATTCCAGGATGAGGGATTTTTTCTGGCTTTGAGAGAGTCGTCTCGTTACCCGGAAAACTCTCACTCCCAGAAGTGCTCTGCCCCAATTGTTCCGGCTAACAGAGATATCACTGTACTGTATCTTGATAAAAACTCACAGTAAAGGGATGCGTGTGTGTTTACCTCTCTCAGAGACTACTCCAAGTTATTCGGCAAGCTAAGATTGGTGAGACACTTATACATTTATGCTGTAAAACAAGCTGAGATACTGACACCAAAAACATTCACCTAAAGACTTACTATGGCTGCCAGGCACCATGCCTGTACTGAGCCCCTGATGTTGCCCGTAAAAATCTCTGACCTTTTTTGCTATATATTTTTGCAATTTCTTTTGTTATATTAAGTAAATAACCATTTTGCACAGATTTAAATACAATATTTACATTATACCTCAGATCCTATTGGTTATATCATGAGATGTATACAGAAAGCTAACATTATAATTACAGGTACTCCTCGACTTAAGACCTACTCAACTTACGACCACCCGGACATACGTCCGCCGTAGTCGAATAAAATATTTTTCAAATTACATATTTTCGAGTCCCTATGTTAGTGATCGCGCTGCGTACTGAAATTTTTTTTTTTTGTAATTCCCTTTAAAATGGCTGGCAAGCGTAAAAGTGAGAGTTCTCGTGATGCTGAGAAGAAAAAGAAACACCCATTTTAGATTTTCTATATTATTTTCGCCTTTTCGACTTACGACCTGGTCGTCGGCCCGGAACCCCGTCGTAAGTCAAGGAGAGACTGTAGCTGTTTCCACTGTACATACTCCCTTTCTCTTGGAACTGCATACGCAAAAATCTGCCTCATATGCATGGGTGGAGGACACGATTTTGTTCAAATAAAAAAAATAACCTGAATACGTGAAATTGTACTTCTGCTTTGGTGTAATATTCACTGCATAATATACTATGTATAGTACATGAAGACAACTATCGGTGCAGTACCAGAAACAGTGTTCAGCTTAAAATACTGAAGGACACAGTTTAAATAAATGGAAAAAACACAGACAAGGCTTACCCCCATATCATCATATTCCACAGCACTGCATGCATTTGTCACAAATGGTATTCCCAAACACTTATTACACAATATTGTAATCCAATGTCTCTATAAAAAGTAATGTATTCACGTGTCAAAGAACAGAATACAGTAATATTCGTAGCACCGCCCTCTCATCATAATAGCCACGTGACATGCGATACCACAACTTACTTCTAGTGTTAACGCAATAAATGGTCAATGTTGGAAGAGGATACTTTTATTACACAGGAACAAAAACATTAAACCATATAAAATGATAAGACTACCACAAAATTAAAATTGTCCTTGGAAGGATTCATTTCTTGAAATGCTAAAATTTTAACTTAAAATCTGAGTATGCTGAATATAGTACTGACAAAACTAATTTTATCAGCTTTAAACACTTAATACTTAAGACTACAAAAATCCTAGCATCTGTTGCATTCTGATCAACATTAAGCATGAATAAAATTTGCAACAAATGTATTCAGAATTTCACAGATTCTTCCCATTGCAGGAACTTCCTACAAGTTTAGTCTCACATACTATTCAAGTGTTATTATTAGAGATATCCCACAGAACTGAGAATTGGTCATATCAAACTTACTAACTACAATAAGACTATTTTGCAATAGTAACACCAATGACAATAAGACATTCACTTATTCTCACGTCCCTCTATGTAGCGTATCTGAACCAGAGCGCTGCTACCATATGACAAGTCAGTCATGCGCCTCCAATCCGTCTGGCCTAAAACAAATCCTCGTTCTCGAGCTGCTGTTTGTTTCTTGCCTTCTTCAACATCAGCCCAACGTACCTGGTGAATTTGGTTACAAGATTATGAAGGGAATTTTAGCAGGTCACACAGATTTGTAGGTATGTAAGTACAGTATATACACAGTATCCATAACCATACAGACACAAGCACCAGCATGCATGCATGCACATTGCACACATGGTAATTTTTGTGGCTGATCTACTATATTCCTAATCAAATGTTGCGAAGATACTGTACTGTAGATGATATTTTCTCAACTGGTCTGACTCTCATGATGCTCAGTGACTTCCTGATATAATCCATAAATGGAGAAAAACATTAAAATTATTGATCATAATACCCAATTTCTAAACATGTTGTAGCCTGGAAGTTTTTGTTCTAGTGCTGACTAGGCTGAGGGTTCAATGACAGTACACCCCTGTCTCTGCACCTGAGGACTGATCTATTGCATATATCCACCCCTGAACATAACAACTCATCCTCCTCATTTTCATCTCCACCATTTTATGGCCATTTTTCTATGATGGTTTAGATGCCCTTTAGATGCAGAAGGTCCTGAAGAAGCCGTGTCGACCTGACTTTGGCCTAATTAACTGTGACATTCAACTTCTATAACCTTTCAGGTTCCAGCTAACTACCCACTAAACCCCAAGGAGGAGGGAGGATATCCAAACTGCTATGCAACTGATTTGATTAGAAATTGAAAGTCATGATCAAGTTTTCCACTTCCAACATGACATCCTCCAACGAGCAGCTCTCATAAGAGAAAGCAGTTAGAAAAGTGGAAGAAGGACTAGGCAGACAACCACACCAGACTCACGAGATGCTCCACACCCTATCCCAAACCAAAATATTACCTACACTAAATGAACTAAATCAAGTGTTTTACAAGGTATGGGTTAATACCCAGTATAGTAAATCCTTGTTTAACCCCTGTGGACAGGGATTGCAATTTATGGTTATGACTGCAACTGTTGCGGGATGTGTAATTTAAGGGTTAATGACGTTCCAGTTAATGCTGTTTCATTTTAATGCCCTGACCAAAGATAGGAATGTTTTCCCATGACAATGTAATTTTTTTTATTTAATCCTGAAATGGCAGCCATCATTAGTGTAAGTTGGCTGTCGGGGCAGTGGGCATTTCATGTTCCTTGTATTCCACATTTATGCATCTATGGAGGCTGGTTAAGATGTTTTTAATACTAAACAATTTGATATATTGTTTTCGGCAACCAAAATTCCAATTGGAGTGAATAAAGGCGGCATCACACTATCATTTCTACTGTCAACTTTTCCAATAATCGTAGATTTTTTCACAAATCGTCAACGTTGACTTTTTGTCAAACACTGCAGACTGTCTGCACTGATGACTCGTACAACTTACCAGAGTCAACTCAAGATCTACAGTATAATTGATACTACAATAATTATAAAAAATAAACAAATTTTTACATAAAATACTCATTATTATGTTTAATTTCGTGATTTTAAAAAGGTAAAAAAATGGAATTTGTTGTTTACATTTTATCCATGCGGGAATAAGAACATGACGGAGCCAACGGATAAAACAAATTCCCAAGTATGGACACGGCTCTCCCAGGAGTTCTTGGTGGACCAGATAAGGCATCACTGCTGTCTGTGGGATCACCAGGACTCTTCATACAACAAAAAAGGCATAGGATTACTGCACTTTCTTCGCCAGTTTGATCCATCTTGTTTGTTGACAGTTGTCGATTGAGGGAAACTAGCGCATTGGCTTTAAATGCATGTGTGATGGTGCACGACCAAAAAATAGAAAATTTTCTGCAAGTTTAAAAAAAAAAAAAAAAAAAAAAAAAACGACAAAAGAATGCCAGTGTGACGCCACCTTAAAGTGCAGGGTGTAATTGCAAAGTTGTCACTGAGACACTGAGATTTCATTTGCTCTGGTTGTTAATCCACATTAAGGAATTTAATTGTTCTAATTTCACCACTAAAATGACTCTTTCACTTGGCCTGGAAAAGCAATGGCAGGTGTTTTTTACTTATTATAAACAATTTGGGGTGATTTCTCAGAAAATATTTGTGTAAATATGCAAACAGCTCAACTCTTGCTGTAAGCTTTACTACACGTCTACAGTAGAAGGTTCTAGCTGAGCAGGTTTGATTTCAATCTTTTCTTACATACAGTAGTGATATCCCTGTTAGCCAGAACAATTGGTGCAGAGCACTTCCGGGAATGAGAGATTTCTGGGTAATGAGATGATTCTCTCAAAGCCGGAAAAAATCCCTCATCCCCGGAATTTTCCGGGCAACGGAGAAATGTTCTCGGAAGTTCCAGAAATTGCCCTTTGCATCACCTCTCGAACCCGGAAAAATATCCCTCATCCCCGAAATTTTCCGGGTATGGTGAAAACTTTCTCAGAATTTTCCGGAAAATGTGCCCCCCAGAAAATCATTCCCAAGGCCGGAATTTTCCGGAAAATTCCAGCCTTGGGTACGATTTTCCAAGAAAATTTCAATTCCGGCTATCGGAGAGTTCCGGGTTTGAGGGATTCCGGCTAATGGAGATATTACTGTACAGTATTTTAAAATCGAAGAAATATTTTTTTTTACCTTTAGGGAACCTTTAAATTTTCACTAAACACAACCATAACACATTAAGATAATTTTTTTTTTTATTATACTGTAATTAATTTAGTGTTACACAGGTACTTGTACTGTACTGTATAATCTTAAGTGTTATTCTACATATAAATTAATAATTGTGCATTCTCCACACTCATTGCAAGCTGTCTGGTGAGGTAATATCTTTAAATTCTTTAACTTTTTATTATATTTTACTGTAAATTATTATTCTTTATATAATAGTACAGTACTTCATAATTGGGGGAGGGGGATAACTGTATATGGGCATTCTTCTTAGGCACTGTTGCGCTTTTCTAAGCTAATTATATGAATTTAAAATTGAGGAAACATTTTCTGCTCAGTCCTGTCTTGACCGCTATTCACCTCACACTCACATCATACTCACTAATCTTTGCTGCTTCCATGATACTGTATACAGTACCAGTGGAATCACTTACATTTATGAGTGCAAGCGATTATTTAGTGACTAGAGTGCTTCTGTGACCAAAGAGTAAAGGAATTCTCTTTCATTTGTGATAAAAATGGAAATAATTGAGCTGGATGAGCTACGAGAGCAGCACAAATAGGTAGGAGATGATGTGTTCTTTTGCCGATTACCAAAGATTGCAAAAAAGCATGTAGCCACTCTCCACACCATGACACCAAACACACACACACAGCTAGTCTCTACAGATATGCAACAAAAATTATGTAGTTTAAATTAAATACTGTAAGTACAGTATATACAAAAACAAATGCCATCTCACCACATACACAGCCATTCATGGGAGTGTGTGGGTGACAGCAGCACACAGAGCAGCCAAACTTGCACACTTAAACTCGAATATTCATGCACACCTTAAAACTGAAACCATGCAGATTTTTCTCCATTATGGATTTTTCTGTCAATTTTGCATACTGTATTTTACAGCATATAAGACAAGCTTTTTTGTCTGAAAAATTGCTAAAAAAAATCAGCCTGCATACTATATGTTTAGCTGGTCTCCTGCAAGCGAATGAATCCCCCCCATTGTTGTCTTCAGCAGACTAAATTCTACCTAACCCAACTCCAGAATTAAAAATATATTATTACTTACTTAAACTTTATTATTAGTTTTATTAATTAAAAAATAATTATTGTAAATGTAAAAGCTCAATCTTTAACTTAAGACGATTAACGTCCATACAGCAGACACCCAACTCTTCAGAGATAGCTAAGCAGTAACTATTTCTTAACTCTTACAAGCATTACAATCTATTAATGCCATACCTGCAACATTTATTTTTAAATCTACAAATACCTGATAAAAATGAAAATTTACAGATAACTTTCTCTTCACATTTACATCTGTTAACATCACTGGCAGCACTGCACCCAGGTTAGACTGTGTGTGTAACCACCAGGCTACTGGCCCAAGCTGTTGTTTTTAACTCGTATTTTCGGGTAGATATACATAACTTTCTTCATTTATTTTTACTCAGTTACATGCACACACCATCCTACATATAAATGTGAAAAAGTAAAAGAAATAATTGTCCTAAGGGCAAACACATAAAAGGAATCAACATTTCTTTGCACACGAGTTAGCTGGCATGGGATGGGGGGGGCGTTGCTAGGGAATCGGCAGAGGTAGTGTCGCCAATGCTATGGTGAACAGGGAGTACAGATGTATGTGCAAATGGCGACTGTGTTAAACTTTCATTTGGCTTTTATCTACTGGTTTGGCAATACAGCATTTTTTGTTGTAACTTATTTATTGGTATTTTTATTTATTCCTCATATTTACTGGTACTGTCCATACTGTTTAAGAAAGCTATGGCTACAGGAGGAAAATACACACAAAAGTTGTTTCCAAAATACTCCCGCTAAAATGGGGGGGGTGCATCTTATATGGACGTGCGTCTTATATGCCATAAAATTCGGTATTTGAACTTTGACTATACAGTGCAGAATAATAATTTGATTTGATTTACTTTATTCATGCACACAGTGCAGTATTGCCCTCTGTGTGGTACACCCATATGATCCCTCCTGAAGGGGGTGCATTACATGGGTCATGAGCCTTGTAACCAGTCTTATTAGCGAGAGAGATACTGTATCATATTACAGGAATTAAGACAAATTTCTAGAGGAATGACCTAACAGCTCCCACTGAATAACTCATTTCCATTGAGTATCTGATATTTGTATCAGATACTGTACTCTCAAAGACTCCAACATGTTTAACAATGTACATAAAAGAGCATACAATAAAGTAAAAAAAGAGCACACCTGGGGAACTAAAGTCCCCCAGGTAAGGAGGTACAGTACTATTGTTAAGCATAGTCTACAGTCTCCTTTTCCCTGTTAATACAGTAAGTTGAAGCTTCACAGAATGACCCACTTCCCTTAAGTCCTCACACCTCTACCTCTTCCACAACACAATCAAGGATTCACAAGAAGTATGCTACTCTGAGACTTCTTCCCAATTTCTTATGAACTGAGATAGAGGACGACCCATTCTTCTGCATGCATGTACATTATAATGAGCCAAAACTTTTTAAGTATCTCCTTTTTTACATCACAGTTAACATTTTCTTTACCTAAAGTGAAATTTTCGTAACTTATTTCAACCTCCTCAGCTATATGTGATTACTTAAGCATTCATCTTCACATGATCAATAACTGTCCTACCAAACAAAGTGATTCTTCAATAAATCAAGAACTATATAACTTTTCTATCTATCATCTTTACTCCTCTATCACATGTATGCAGGTTGGATCAAAGGTTACATAAATCACCAGGAAGGGGAAGTGGTGGGGAAGAAAAGAGAGGAAAGGGTTACTACACTTCCTCACATTCCCAACCTGGACATGAAGTGTACATAATAAATCAACTTCCACATTGATTAAGGATTTATATATATATATATATATATATATATATATATATATATATATATATATATATATATATATATATATATATATATATATATATATATATATATATATATATATATATATATATATATATATATATATATATATATATATATATATATATATATATATATATATATATATATATATATATATATATATATATATATATATATATATATATATATATATATATATATATATATATATATATATAATCACTTTACACATTTTAATGAATTGTCAAGTTCATTAATGCTAACAATGTCATGGGCTCAATGAGAACACAGTGTGCAACCCACAACTGGACCCATTATCATTATGTAACATGAAACCTCGTCACCTTCCTAATTCACTTCTTTTTCACACTTCCATTCCTTTAGCTGCCCATTAAATATGTGCTATCTCTGAAACTGATGTACTGTATACTGTACAAATTTAAGTTTCAGATTACTTCTCATTCCTTTAGATATTTTCATTATTCCTGAATCATTTGAAAGTAACATCAAGTTTTGCTCAATTTTGACTGACTCACTGGTCCCATGCTTTAATAAACACAAAATAATATATTTTATACGAACCAGTTGCATTATTTTAACTTTCGTATCTACAGTACACCAATTTTTTTTTAATTTTTACTCCAAATGGTCCAGAAACTTAAGGTTAACACAGGTTGTTAAAAGGATCAATTGGTTACCATGAAAGCCCTCATATTTAACAAAGAACATTACTTGAACAAAGAAACTGCACTACCCCAAAACCTGATTTTACATCAACTTCCCTGTCATTTAACCCCCTGATTGACCCACCCTCCTCTAAGTACAGTGAAGAACCAATGACTCTTCATGTGCATGGGCTCTGTTTACCAGTGATCAAGACTTACACCAGCATTTGATGAAGTATCTTCACATTCTAAGTAATCACATAATCTACTCTAACGATCAGTTTTATAATTACAGATGTGTGTACAGTATTATTTCACTTAGTCCTATATGATTTTTTACGTCGAAGTACAGTAAGTCCTCGTATAACGTAGGCACGCTTAACGTTGTTTCGGTACTAAGTCGCTAATCTTTAGATACCAAAAATTCGTTTAATGTCCCGATGACTCAGTATAACATCGTTTTGTCTCTTCACGGACCACTTTTTAAGGTGCATCACCCTCTCTCGGCTCAGCGCAGTCTCAGTGACTCCCATCCTCCTCCTCAACTCCCGCCACACTCCTCCCCTCCCGCCATCCGCCTCCTCGGCTTCACTATGTATGTACAGTATAGAAATGGCAATGATTTTCTGTATATGTAAAGTATTTCATGGGGCAAAGAGGGGCTCAGGAACGTAACTCCCATATTTTATCTATTTCTTATGGGGAAAATTGATCTGCTTAACATTGTTTTGTATAACGTCGCATTTTTAGGAACGTAACCCCGACGTTAAGTGAGGACTTACTGTTTATATAATTTCTGTCTTCTATGTTATAATTGTGGGTGCTGTAGTTTAGTACTGTACAACTAAAGTGAGAATTACAAAGATTTTTCCATTACCTGACTTTCTTTTTCAAATTTGATAAGGGTTTTTGGCAAAAATTAAATAATATTGTGGTGAATCTGCATATGGTGGTACATCCCACTGACCAACCAATCAGTTCCTATGAGTTGTAAAAATTGCTGCAGATACATGAAAGTGGATTGCATTAAGACCAACTCATTCATTTATTCATGCAAATTCAATAATAAGTTTTAACACTTAATTATTACTGAAAACCATAGGATTAAAAAAATAAATGTATTTCTCATACAGTACAAACTCTCAGCCAATTCACCTCATCATTAACACCTAAGCACCTTACTACTGTACTCTATTTCTCTTACCCCACTCAAAAAATAAGGGGGGTCTACTATGCTGCAACCGACCATCTCATACACTCTTTTAACCATTTTCCCCCACTCCATCCTCTCTACAGTATGTCTGCATCCCAGAGAATGTATTTCTCAACTTCACTACAGGTAACAACTTTTATGTTAGATGATTACCCGTTCAGAGCTTCTTGTTCCTCCCTCTTAAATCTTTCCTAATAAACTACACACACATGACTAACTCTAATGTCAAACACAAAATCAGTACAACACACAAGAAAAATTTATGAATCGAGAGGTGAAAGACTTACCCGTTTCTTTCCTGGCTGTGCTACCTTGGTATCGTAATCATCAGACAGCTGGAGCCAATCTTCAATTGACTTGGGTTTCCCACAACTCATCTTTTTCTTGGCAGCTTTCACACCGTCGAGCTTGTCTGAGGGAAGATGGAGATACCAACTATTATTTTCCACACAGTAACTTCTTTCAATTAAAAAGAATCATAGCTACTTATGTTTAACTACAGCTGGTATATAGTAGTCTACTTTATTCTATTTCTCTGGTCCTATGTAAAAGTTGTTCCCCTATGCATGACTGCCCTATGTACAGTATATATAAAAAAAATATAAATAAATAAAAAATAAAATAAATAAATTATGCACCCCTGGGTCTGACTGCCTATGCAATGATCACTGACTGAGGGCCAAGTTCATTAGGTAAGGTTGGTACTTCTGATTGTGTGATGGATTGTGTAACCAATACAATGTATTTTGTATATCATGTATTGTTAATACAGAGATATTAATAGGAGTACAGTACATATAAATCCCGTACATTTGTCAAAATTCTTGGTCCGGTGTGTCATAATGTATAACACCATAAAGGTACAGAAACTTTTTTTGTTGGCTGTACAGTTCGCGTAAAATTGATGTACAGGTTGTAAAGTACAGTATGAAATGCTACCAAAACCCTAAAGAAAAGTTGGAAAGGTAGAGAAGAGTGGTATAAAATGTGTAGAAAATGACAGGGAAAAAGTTGAGTCATAAACTAAAAATATTAGATATACACTTTCTCATATCCTCAACCCAATCACAAGAACTGTCAGATTTATCCAACAGGGGCAAGTAGGACAGGAATTAATGCCACCAGTGGATTTTTAAACATTCCTGCTACTAAAGCGGTCTCGGCTAATCAATCGTATCACTCCTACATTGTTACCACTCGAGACTGGTATCATCTCCCTATTTAATAGAAAACATGATATTGTCTACCTGCCCCAGGATTTGCCTGTGCACACTCTGCCAGCTAGTTTATAAAGTCTGCTGGTCCTCTACAACTATCTATGCATCATTTCCCAATGTCTGCATAACTAACAGAGAAAAAATAATCTCTTCAGAGGAAGTGTTGCATCTGCATTGACAACAAAACAAAGTAAAAACAATACTGAAAACCTCAGCAATATTTGGTTGGGGTTCAATGATTCCCAGGATGAATTCATAGATCAAACTAGCACAGGGTAACTTAAAACTTTCTACAATTCTTATTTAGTTTTCTAGAAATAAAAAATTCTCTAGGGGGCACAGTAGGGTTAAGAAAACTCCCTCATGTAATAGTTAACCTCCACATTATTTCAAAATGCTTTATATTAACTGAACATATTAAGTTTAGCTGTCATGGTCATTCATACTAACATTAAATACTGCACATAAGATATGAAGTAATTACTACTTTATTTTTTAGAAAAATACATTGATGTTTCAAAGGACTTTATATCAACAGAGAATTTTTTTCCACCCTAAGATTACATTGTGTAAGACAAATGTTGAAACAAATCTAAGAAATAATCCACATTTTTTAACACTACTGTACTACCTTTCTAACTACTGAGGTGGAGCACATATTCAAACCTTGTACAGTACTGTATTGTGAATATGATTTTAGCACCTTAGTGTGAGTTTGTTTTGAAGCAACAGTCTCTCTCCCTTCCCCCTCCTACCCTTCCTTACAACATTCAGAAAGAATAAGGGATTTCTTCTTTACTTCTGACACCTAAACCTGTCTGTTAAACGTTAGTCAGAAAAAAAGAACTCTCTTCTCTCTTTCTCTCTTAGTAAGGCACATAAATATCAATATAAGAAGATAACCAGTTTTTTAAATGAGTACAACACACATGTAAATACAGCAGAACTTACCCAGTCTGTCCTCTTGGCTTTCCAGGGTATCCCATTTGCTCCGAATAAATTCATTATAAACCTGCGAATATATGTCAAATCACATGATTTTATGAGCATAGGTAAAAAATAAATGCAATGGGCACTTGACATGGTGTTTAATGATTGCTAAATAAGAGTTAGTAGAAACATATCTGCTTCTTTATATAATAAAATAAAGAAATACCCGGTAAATAAATACGTACTGAAAAAATCAGAAAAAACATGCATAATATAGTTCTGACTTTCTTGTGGATATAGATTTTTTCCAAAAAAATTTCACCTGTAAATACCAACAAAATTTAAAATCTTGCTGAAACATGTCAGCTAAAGAGCCGCGCTTATCATACTGTCTAACGATGTTATACAAAGTACGTGCAGTATGTTTCTGAGGAAATATCAGACTAATACCCACCAGAGAAAGATTAGGGTACGTTGAACAGTTTTAAAACCAATTTACAACAAAATTCTAAATCTATGTATGCTTGAGCACATGACGAGAGCAACCTGTATCGTAAGGAAGCAAAAGTTTATCAACATAATGCCACAGCAACAAAACATAAACTTGAAGGGTGACAATGATGCACTCCAGTACAACTTAAGGCTCTCATCACATTTCCACTTACACACCAACAAGTCTGAATCTCAAGTATTTTCTTTATGGGTTTCAGCTAAACAGCTATACAATTATTTTCTGATCAAACAAATTCTGGAATGTATCTTGAAATATACTAAAAAATATAATCCATCTAATCAAGAGTTTTAGGCATGTACTGAACTCAGTAATGAAGTATACTGTATTATAAGCCCCGAAACACAATTCTCTGGGATACCCATAACTGAACTTTAACCTCTAATATCCACAATTCGATTCAAGAATGTCTACAAACATAAGGTGGACTACACAGTTAATGGAAGTTAAAACATTGATAAAAAATTATAGGATATAAAGTTCATAAACATCAAAGCGTAATTTAATACGATTTTATATATTTATATATATATATATATATATATATATATATATATATATATATATATATATATATATATATATATATATATATATATATATATATATATATATATACTGTATATATATATATATATATATATATATCCTGTACTATGTATATATTTTTTTTCATAAACAACATGAAAAATGGAGAACTTTCGTCAGATCAACGAAGGTCTTCTATCCCCTATAGTACACAAACAAATTTCTGTAAAATGGAAGAAGATAGGATTACCTTTTCAGTTCACAAAAAAATAGCATAGTGATGTAATATTCAGCTCACAAGAATATAACAATACAATGTTTAAGGAAGTATCCATCAAGCTAGTATACAGTACTTCCCTCATAGTTTGAAGTGCTATACCATTACTGCAAACAGCCCACACAGAAGGTAAAAAAGAAATGCCAATCAACAGTAACTTTATTTATGAAGAACTGAATGATGCTAGACAAACTTCTTAATCCAAACAAAATTTTCTGCTTTACATTAACACTGTATTCTTCTCTTGTAGAAGCACATTACCATCACCTACTTCCACTTAAAAAATGCAGTTTCAATTTTCCGTATCTTTTATCTTATTCTCAAATATATGTGAGCTCGTCTTAATACAGATAAAGTACGACGCTGGCATATGTGCAAGTGGTGTGTGCATGTTGTGCCTGGGTTGTGTGTGCATGTGATACATTTGCTATGTGGCATGCATGATCAATTGTGTATGTACATACATACATGCATGAGTTTGTGTTGGTATGACATACCGACATGTGTTAAAACACAGTACAGTATACCCTGTTTAAGAAATGTTGTGTGGTATTCCCTGTGGATTTTTTAAAACTGAGCAAAAGTGTAAGGGTTTATGTGTAGGGCATAAGAAGCTCTCTAAATTAGTGTGTCAAGATAGATGCAGATGTGTCTGAATATGGATGTTAATGTACAAAAATGTGTCTGGACTGTGAGATTCTATATTTTACTGTGAAATATATGAGACTGAATTTGGGGAATGTTTACTGATACGTTTGGATGTGAAAATATATGTGAAGAAAAGTTAAAGAAATACAGTACATACGAGGATATACTGTACATGGATGAGAAGGTGTTAATGTTTATGATGTTTACAATTAAATTTGTTTGAGAGGATGTACAGTATGTGAAAGTGAGATGGTATACTATATATATATATATATATATATATATATATATATATATATATATATATATATATTAGTATACAGGTAGATTTTGTATTAGAATGTATGGATATACTGTACACATATATACAGTACTATATGTGGCTGTATATTTCTGAAGTATATGTTAATATGTGGGAATATTTGTGGATACAAGTAAGGATTGTAAGTATATATGATGTCACTCATGCTTGTGTATGAACACACAAAACTGCTGGAAAATCAGGTTACATTATGTGATGAACTTGATGGAACAGTTCTGGGGACTGATGATCAAGACACCAGGATGTTACACACCAGGTGGTTCTCAAGTACTGAAGCAAGTACAGTAATAGAATCATGAGTGTGTTGAGACTACAGCAGACTCTCTACTAGCCAAATTATGGCAGAGCGGAACCAGTGCATTGCCTTCTGGTGTTGCTCACATTTTCAACAATTATCAATTATCTTAACACCTGTTGTGGTCATTCACTGTTGTCTTACTAGCAATATGCTTCTTAAAATTTGAGAAAATTAGCCATTTTCTACATTAAAAAGAAACACATTTTCCTTTGTTCTTTTTACAAAAACTCAAGCTTAATACAGCTGAAAACAACACATCCAGTCATAACGAAATGGATAAAGTTACGATGTTCGCGGGTTTCACGAGAGGCCACCGTGGTCACACGATTATACAGTATTTATGAATTACGACGTTGAGGACTCTGGGTCATAGCATTGGCACGACTGTTCTCTCACTCCTTGGCCCAGAGCCGACTACTGCACAGTATACGCACGGTTGTCTCCACACTATCTTCAGTCCTGAACAGCAGAAAACCAACACAAGGTTAAAAGACTTGTTACTCTCCTGTGTGCAGCTTATACCAGAAGGTTTGTTTACCTAATACAGTATAGTTTGTATATAAAAAGTTATTAGTGTACACACTTCTAAAGTAGATACTAGTCATTCTTTATCTACTTTCTCCAAACTATGAACGATTCAGTTCTATACAAATACAAGTAGTACTTAGCAATAGCATCAAATGCAGTCTGTAACATTTCCAGGTAAAGTTGGAACAAACAATCCATCATAATATTTGAAAAATATAGATGTATTATATATTATTTAAATATAATAGTGGAAGAAGTAGTACTGTACTAGTATGTAATAATAAAAATAATAATGATAATATTAATAGTATTAAAAATAATAATAATAATAATTTAATGTATCAGCCTAATAAAAACAGAATGACGTTATTTTATGTGGACTGTAGTGGTATGTCCAAGAAGAACAGTTCCCACCAAGCAGTTGAGGAATGCTCTGCTCCCACACTAAACCACAAGAGAAAGTAGTTGTTATTCATCACATGAGCTGTAATGACCCGAAGCCCAGAAATTGCTGTAAATATTATTGCACCCTCTGTAACCAGTTTTGTACAGTACAGTATTTATAAAACTTAAGTAGATTAGTTTTTTCTTCTCCAAAGGAAAACTTTTGTTTTAATATATATCTGAAATATGGAAAGTAATATGAAAGCATAATAGGTAAAGTCTTGTCAGTAATAACAGCAGGTAATAATATATGCCCACAAAAATATACTAATAATTCAGATAAGAAATCATTGTCATTTTTCACATTAAATAGTAATCATAAATAATATGCAACCAAACCAGTTATTATACACATAAAGTCATATATAAAACTGAGTAACTGCAATGATATTGAGATGTAGCCTCTGATATTGAAACTTTCTCCTCCAATGTTAATATGATAAGACATCACAAAAGTGGTGAGCTTTATACATCATGCACATAATCCACACACAATAACATGTTCCTTTGTAAAACGGATATACAGTACCTGTACACTTAATTTCAAATGAGTTGAACCCCATTTCTATGTCTAATGTGAACTCACTCATACATATTACAGTTTATTAAAGTCAAGTCAAAAAATAAAAATAAAACTTAATACTGTTGTGTATAATATCACTTACTTAGAAGTCAAATGATGATTATAAAGGTGATTTAAGAAAATTGGATTCCATAGGAAAACATCATCCTTAATTTCAGTAATGTAAATAAACTAGATACAGCATTTATAAAATATGTTAGCCCATACTTAATTAATCAATATTACCTGTACAGTATTACTAAACAGTATGCACTGACTTACCAGGGAGACACAGGGGATGAGTGCTCACCCACCCCCCTCCTATTGGTGTCATTCAAACATTTTCAGAGTAATACTTTAAATTCTTTAAGTTTTTAAGTGTTCCACAATTTTCATTTCTGGACATTCAGTTAACACAAACTCAGGTTAGGGTACATATAAACCTTTCAACAGCCCCCCTCCCCTCCAGAGCCTTAGTTTCTGAGGCTCAGAATCCTTCACAACTACATACCTTACACCTAAAATACATTCAAATTGTACAAAATTTCAGAATATTTCATGCAGTATTGCAGATAGTGCTGACTTCACAAAGTGGTTACCACATGAGGAATACTTTGACAAATACATTAAGTTACAGAGACAGTAAAGTTGGAGGAAATATTGACACGACCTATAATATGCCCGAATACCGTCCTCCCACTAAGGTGTGATAAATTTACAAAGTGAGCATCACAAATTCAGACAGAAAAGATGGATGTCAATCAGATGAACTGATGGACAAGCAGACATAATAAACATTATGCCCCCAGCTTATGTTGGGGGCATAAAAAATATGATTTAAGTAATTTTATAGTAATATATTTAAATACTACCAGCTTGCCTGAGAGACTAATTATTGTTTGTGATTATTAGGTGGATGATACATATAAAGCATCTGGTGAATAATTTAAAAATATTCTACATA